AGTGCGAGAAGATCAGCACCCTGGGAGACTGTTATTACTGTGTGGCAGGCTGTCCGGAGCCCCGCGCAGACCATGCCTACTGCTGCATCGAAATGGGCTTAGGCATGATAAAAGCCATCGAGCAGTTCTGCCAGGAGAAGAAGGAGATGGTGAACATGCGTGTCGGGGTTCACACGGGGACTGTCTTGTGTGGTATCCTGGGCATGAGGAGGTTTAAATTCGATGTGTGGTCCAATGATGTGAACTTGGCTAATCTCATGGAGCAGCTGGGAGTGGCTGGCAAAGTTCACATATCCGAGGCCACTGCAAAATACTTAGACGACAGGTATGAAATGGAAGACGGGAGAGTTATGGAGCGCCTTGGCCAGAGCGTAGTCGCCGACCAGCTGAAAGGTATGTGCTTTTCTTTGTCACCTTCCTCCCCCATCCTGTTTCTATCTGATAGTGATAGCCGCAGTGGAAAGATTCTCCCCAGGGTTAGTGTCTGGAGGCAGTTGGCTGTCTCAGAACACCTGACTGGGGGAATCAGCATGCCTGGGTTCTAGTGAGTCAGCCGTGGCAGACCTAGTCATACTGCAGGCGGACACCGAGACAGTGCTGACCTACATGAGACCTTAGAAGGAAGGAGAACTTTGAAAACCCACGTCCTCCACTTGGCTGTTGATGTCTCTGAATTCTGGTGGAAAGCCCAGTGAGTCTGAGGGTATTGGAGCCCTTTGAAAGTCGGAACTTTTTAGCGTCTAAAGAAATTGCCCTTAAATCCCATGCAGATGTTTTCCTATCTCCTTTGACAAAACGGTGAACCCCAAGTCCCTTTTCCTCTCCAGGCCTTGCTTTACTTAGGATTAAAATGAGGGTAGGAAGCTGGCTGATCTGCAGGCTACTGGAAAGTTAGACATACATACCTGTCAGTACACACGACCTTCTTCCTGAATCGGTCAGTCTCAGTCTTGCTCTCTCCTGTCAAGTTTTCATATTTCTGTCTTTCAACTTGCATTCAGTGCTTCATTACTATGATACCTGTTTCGTTTTATACAGTTCAGATTTCAGAACACAGAACTCCATAAGGTACCAGGTGGTTTGGAATAGGAGTGCTTATGTCTCCCCTACTCCCTCAGATTTGCCTCTGGCTGCTTGTCCTTAATCTCAGGATCCTTACTGTTCTTGGTATTTTTGCTTGGCTGTGTCTTATTTTACTTTATTTTCATATATATATATATATATATATATATATATCTTTGAGATCTGGAAAATGGGTGTGTAGATTAACGGGACCTAATACCAGGATTCTCAGTAATGTGCTACATTTCTTTGCCCCATTCCCTGCAATTTTAAAAAGTTCCCATGTTTTACTATAAATCTTCAGGATTGAGGGAACATTTATTTTGCAAGTATATAGAGAATGAACATTGATTTTTGAAAAGCTACATTAAAGCTCTTTTGTGATTTGTGGTGCCCGAATGTCACATAATTACACAATTAAAAGCCCCAGGAGAGGGAACCAGGGGAGGAGAAGATGGTTTAAATCAGATGGCGGGGGAGGTGGTAGGGGTAAGGAGTAGTAGCTTAAATCAGAAAGTACCTGAGTTGTTTTAGCAAGGCCACCTGCCTGATAGCATTGCTGGGAGTTCAGTCAATGGGCGTTTGCGACCTGAACTCCCTTGTCATTTATTTACTTGCACTCTGGCCAGAGTGGGTTTTCTTTCTCCCAAGTCTTCTTTATTGTTTTTATTAGTTGCCAAAGAATTTATAGACAGAGCAGAAAACTTTTCACCTGGGAATTCTCTTCTTCTAGAGAGATTTAAATGTGGGTGTTGACCACCTCACGAATGACGCTTTCCCTTAGAAAAGATCTCACTATGACAAGTGTCTTTCCGATTAAGAGCGTGGCACCTGCTTTGGGGCTTCGTGGTATCAGGGGATGTAAGCCCTCCTTGGCATTTTGGCATCTTCAGGATTGATGGTTGCAGGGGATTGTGGTACAGTCCGGAACTGTGGTGGGGCACTGCACTGCTGTGTGTGTAATGATACACTGTGCTGGGTCAAAGGTCAGTGAAAGCAGTTTTGTGAGGTGTGCTTTCTGTGATGTATCGTTTGGACTTCAAAAATAAAATAAAAATAGGTGTAGTTATTAAGTATATTCTGAAGTTCCAAAGTCATTGAAGTTTTGGCAGTATCAGTGTTTGTTAATTTATTGGTGATTTTTGTTTTTAATTCATAGACCCAGAGTCTCAAACCCCCTCAAGAAAAATACAAAAAGAAATCCTAGAGGGAGTTAATAAATTTTTAAGTTTCAAATAGTGTAAATTTAGTAAATTTAGCTTAAAAATAAATCTGCATTATATACTTATAAAAAGTTTGTAAATGGACAGGGGAAGGAGAAAAAAATAAAGGGTTAGATGAACTGTTTCTGATTTTTAAATTTAGTATTCCCTCCTTGAAATTTTCTCAAGACTGATTTTTTTGCTTTTCCTTGCTCATTTTGAAAACCTTATGGATAGGACTAGCAGTAGCGTGCATCTACCCAAGCCTCTGACCCCTCTCGACACTCAGCCTTCTTTGCTTCTGTCCCCCTTCCTTACTCTGGAATTGCAGCAGAATGGCAGGGAGCCACTGCTAGCTAAGGAATCAGAATGGAATGATGATCCATTATTTCTTCACGGTCACCTCTCCTCCCTCTCAGTTCCTCTTTGTGTCCTTCCTCTTCCTCCCTGTCCCTGATTATCACACTCCTATGTATGTCTGACACTGTGAATGCATGGACCCATGACAGTCCCTGTCCTGGCTGGCAGAGTGTTGCAGAGTGGGTCTATGTTTGGGGCATTTTGGAGAGAGGCGCTTACTGCGTGAGACCTGAGATCAAGTGCAGCTCTAAGGCGGGCAAAGGAAGCACTCTGGGTACAGAGCAGAGACCGTGGGCAGAAGCTGTCACTGGTGTTTCTCAGTGGGCTTGGGCTTTGGACCCAGTTCATCAGCACCTCCCGGTGACCTCCCAGCAAGAGTGACCTAAGGGGTTTGATTTCAAGGTGGGAAGGATCCTCTAATGGGGCTTATGAACGGAGTTTTCAGTTCTAGAGATTGTAGCCCAGAAGGCAGTGAGCCTGGGGATTAATGTGCTGTTTGGGCAGATCCTAGATGGGGGAGGATCCTGAGGGAGGGTGACTGCACTGTCAGTGGAGGGGCAGTGGAGTGTGAGTAGCCTTAAGATAACTTGATGGGAGCCCAGACCAGGCTTAATCAGAGGCTGGGATGGGGCATGACTGGGTGCTAGGGTTTGAAGGGAAGGGAGCCTTTTGTGTTTCTAGAACTGACCAGGAGATTGTCTAGACTTAGGCAGTGTGGTGAGAATGGAGGTGAACAAGCCTGGAAACCCTGACTCACTCGTTTACCTGTTCACCAGATTCTGCCCTGGGCCCAGTTCTAGGTTCTGGTGCTATGACAGGGTCCAAAATGGATTAAAAGAAAATCCTGTTCTCATCTCATGAAGCCTGGGGCTGCTTCACTAGTGGAGTTAATGGAGAGGCCCAAGATTTTGGAGACGACCACAGAGTAATAGCATTTATAAAACTAAGGAGAAGGCACTAAGTTGGAGCTACAGGAAGAGTGGTCCTGCTGTAGCGTTGAGATAAACCTCAAAGCTGGAAGGATGCTGGCCCTTCTGTGTGCTGTCCCTAGACAGCAAGGATGATTATCCTCTGGGTTGGTTTTTCCTGTGGGAGATACAGAGTTGTAGAGGCAGAAAGTGAAACTCAGAAGAAAGTGCCCCCAGCTGCCTTCTCCTCCCCATGTGGGTAGGCTTAATTTTTGTGGAAAGAATTTCTGGTTGCCATTGCTCCATTATGCATACAGATAAAGACATTTCCACAGCCAAAACTTTGTGGAGCACCTGGGTGAGAAACTCAGAGCTTCCATCTACATTCTTGGGCAGGGTGTCTCGTACGCGCGGAGACACAGCCTCCTAGGAAGCAAGTGGCTTAGATAAGATGAGGCAGAAAATGTGGCCTCATTGCTGGCGAAGGAGACAGCAGCAGCCAGCGGCGAAGCAGAGCCCTGTGGACGCTGTTTGTTTGAGACCGTGCTTGCTTGCTATGCAGTGTAGGTTCTCCTTGTACTGATAACTCAGGCTGGCCTCAAATTTGCAGTCCTTTTGCCTCAGCTTCTCCAGTGCTAGAATTGCAAGCATGTGCTGCCATGCCTGGCCTTTCCTATGACAACCTTTTCAGGCCCTTGGGGACCAAATTACATGGCTTCAAATAAGTTGCACACAGCTGTTAATTCTCAAGATAAGCTTTTGGGTGGATTAACTTTTGGCAAGGAAATTAAGAATGAGGTTTGCTGAGTTCCTGGTGGAATGCAGAAGAAAAGAAGGTAATGTTTTAGGTTAGAATCACTAAGAAAGTTGAAAACTAAAGTGAAGTATCCTAACAATTGTGTTTCTGACAACTGGCCACTGTTTCATGTCTACTTAATCCTGGAAAAAGAAAGCCATGCTGATTTTTCTATGTACGGGTACTTTGGGTGCAAGTTTGCTGCTTGATGATTATGGTTTTGGTGTTTCTGCTGGGATTTTGAAGTACTTGTCTGCTCACTCATCCTTCTTCTGCATGTCTGCTTTTCTGGTGGTGGCAGGAAGCTGTTGGCTACAAAAAGAGTGGGACCGAGGGGCACTGCATCCCCTGGGCTTTGACAATCGTATGCAGTTTGCATTCAAGACACTTAAAGACCTTCCTAACAGGATCTACCCATCACTGGAAGGGATTTTATAAAGGGACCTGTGTTTTGAAGTGGGAAGGAACTGACGTGAACCCTGGACTGGCTGCATCCACCAGTTTCCCAGAACCAAAGGGAAGGAGCTGAGCTCACAGGGAGTCTCAGTGATGCCTGGTCTGCACAGAGAGGGGGATGGGCCTGGGGAAGGGACAGGCTTCCCCAGGGAACACTGGAGAAGGCCGAGATGATAGTGTTCTACTGTTGAATCTGGTGTACCGTGCTGACCAGCCTCCCCGTGCCTATACTGATGCAGAATTGGTGATGGGAGCTGCCCTTGAACTCTCCTGCTTGGGGAGTCAGGTGTTTACTGTAGCGTTCAGTGTGTCCTCCTAGAGTGTTCCCTGCCCTCTGTCCTGAGGTGAGTGGGCAGACTCAGTCCCTTGGAATAGACGAGAATGCCAGCTTTCCCCTCCATGCTGGCAGTAGCAATGGAGGCAGACCCTAGGGAAGGGACAGATTTGAAAACAAGGTGGATAAAATCCTAGGCCTTCAACAGCAAGGCTTATGAGGTCTTCTGTGAGCCAGTAGCCCAAAGCTTTTGGTCTTAGGACCCCTTTTCTTTTACCATAGTAGGAGCTAAAATGGAGAAATTTAAACAAATATTTTAAATTTACTTCAAAATA